ATAGTTGTGAAGTTTAAAAAAGATCTGTGAATATGGAGTTCTAATTATTTGTTTTGCCAAACTAGGTTGTTAGTTAACACCAAATGTTTGTATTATCTTATCATTACATGTAGTTATTTGAAGTCATTTAACGAGTTCTTTTAACTAATTTATATGAATTTGATGACCAGGACTTATAAAAACATTTCATCAATTTCAGCATGGGTGAACAGTAAGAAAGCTGCAACGGAGGCTGAATTGAGAAAGATTGAAGTAAGAGCTTGTTTTAATATTAGTATTAAGAAATTATTCTAGTAATTGTCTCAATATATTATATATCTTATATCATCTATGCTTGATCTAGAGTCATAATAATGATAATTTTGTCAGCTTAAATAATTTTGACGTACTCAATATATTATTGATATATGTATTGATTATTCAATAACTTTTCTTTTAATTGAGTTATTTAATAAAATATATTGTTTTAGTTTTTTTTTCATACGTACGACTCTTGTCTACATGTTTATTAGATTGAGTGTTGTCCTACAAAATGTGTTGTAGTTCCTGTTAACTGTGATGAGGTTGTATCACTTACTGAATCCCTCACCGCAAACCTAAGCCCAAAACATGGATTTGATCCTGTCTCCCGTTCGGAACATACTTGTGAGGTGCATGTTAAAGTAAGTTTGTTTTGACCCTTTTCAAGCATGCTTGTATCAACCATTTTCATTGTAAATTGACTCTCTATTACAACTTTGCCTTATAAGATGAAATAAATCCAGAAGATGAGGGAGTACACTTAGAAAATGTAGTTGGAACAAAAGAGGGAGGTGAAGAAATACCAAAAGAAAAACCTCAAAAGAAGAAACTACTAAGAACGGTCTTGGGTGCAGCTGTAGTTGGTTTGTTATTCATGATTTTGCACTTAAGGGTTGTGTTTGGCCCCTTTTTTGTGTTTTCCAGGTAGTGCTGGTTTAGTGAGTGCATTGATTTGACGTTTTGGTCTTTTGTTTGATAAGAGGAATGGCGGGGAAAAGGCTGCACAACCAAGTAGGGCATCTAATCATATAGGCAAAGTAAAAATTCAGAAAAAATCTGACAGGAAAGTAAAGAGAAGTACTAAAAAAGGGGTTTATCCAATGAAGGCTTTTTGTGTAGACATACATATAGCAAATATTTTCCTGTTGAAATCTAATTTAAGTTGTTTGCCAGACCATTTTGTGTGGGCTTATTGGAATCCCTCCATCCAACGGTGTGATTCGTCAATCTCCTTCTAGAAAAATATGAACTTGAATCAGCTGTACTAAAGTATGCAAGAAGCATATGATCAAATGTAGACTCCGTTAGCCTACCAAATTTCAAAGCGGTGGCCGTGTTTACATTATTCTAGACAGCTTACTTGTTTCTCTGCTTCTTATCCCAGTACATTAATATTTCCTTCCCAAGTTTTTTAAAGGAGCCCATCTTCAAGAATTGGATGTTGCATGAGGAGCGCATCTTCAAGACATTGTTTCTTTTTTAGTAATGTAATGAACATCTTAATCATATTTTTAGTATTTTAATTTAGTATTGAACATCTTTCTTTTTAATATAGAAATAATTAGTTCCACGAACATATTAATATATTGCACAATGTAGTTTATTTTATATATAATATTTAGTTTTAATTCATATTATTTGTTATCAGCGGTTTTGACAAAACCATCGTTGTTACAAGCGGTTTTGACAAAAATCCCGCCACTACCGGCGGTTTTGACAACCATTATCACAAAAGGCTTTTTATACTTGTTAAAAACAGACTTCTTATACCCTGCTCGAGTAGGTGTATAGTTGGGGTATAGAAAATTTTAGTTTTTTTTATGTCGATTCTAGAATAATTATAAAGTTTGCCACTTTTATACCTGTTGATGCTAGAATAGGTGTAAAAAGTCTTATTGTTTATACTTGCTGATGCTGGAACCGATATAAAAGTAAGCTTTTTTTTTATACCTAATCCAACTTTAACAGGTATAAAAGATATCATTTTTTTAAATATTTATTTTGTATGTGCTATTATCCTTATCCAAACCTCCATAAAATTAATTTTCAAAATATCGTTTGAATAATCAATAACAAGCAAAATAATCAATATTATTTTTATTATTAACACATCAAAATAGTTCCTCAATGTAATATTTACTTAACAAAGTTTCTAAATAATATTACATAACGAAATTACACATAAAATAGTTTCTCAACATTGAAATATTTAATCATCTATAAACGGTTAAAAGAAATGTAGATCATTCTTCTCAAACATCTTTTATGACATGTTGCTACATTGGAGACGTGTCATGCAATATCTACATAATGTCCAACTTGAAAATATAAACAATAGAGCCATGAAGATTTGAAGTAAATCCAGTATAATTGGCCAAAACACTGAATCTTCCTTACCATCTAGTTCAATGCCTTTGCTACAACCTATTGTGTGAACACAATACATTGCCCAAAGCAAGCCGAGCAAGCATATGTTGTCTGATGGTGAAAAAGAATAATTCAGAATTCACCTCAAAAGTTTTTAAGGATTTTCAATAGTTGACACAGCAGAATTAGTTCAACTAACATTGATGAAAAAGATTATACAAATCAGACTTGGGCTTGGTAACTAGTAATAGCCTTTGGAAAAAATATTTGGATAACTTTTTCTACATTCCAGATGGAAAGCAACATTACACAACAATCCAATTAGGCTTGAACTTTTTCATGCACAAGACCATAATAGTGATTTGCATCTAAACAAGCTTTTCACGCACAAGACAAATAACAATATATTATTTCTAAACAACATTACCATGCAAATTGAAGCCAGCACAACAGTGGCTATTTGGTATTTTGTTAGTTTAACAAAATAGTTTATTTATTTCTTATTGGGGGAGGGGGTAATAAGGAAAAAACAACATACAGTTAGCTACATCAAGACACAACAACTATCCTTACTGAGATTTTGAGGTGTTGCTTGTTCTTCATTTTGTATCAATTATTTCCTATTTGTATCATGTTAAGAAATAATAAACTTAATTTTTTTAATAGCAAAGATCAAGCTCACTTCCTAATTATATGGCACAAAAAAAATTTATTTTACTTATTACAAAAACTCATAAGATGTGACATCTCCAAAAAGCATTAATACATCATATGTTCATAGATCATCAATAATCGACAGAAAAACTCTTTTACCAACAACATTTGATTGGAAAGGGTAATTGAAGCATAAGCGTAGATAATAGAAGACATGCCTTCTTAAGTGCATGGCCATCCTTCTCCGAACAATTCCATGCATTGCAACCAACACTTCTACAAGAGTTAAAGCTGAACCTGTATGAGTTGAACCCTGCCATGAAATACATTAAACATTTAGCCTATCTAGAAAGGAAGAAAAAAGATAAAGAAATAACTTGTAAGAAATATTGAGGTTTAATTGAACATAAATCCTCGTCTAAAAGGAACAGTATAAGGAAACATGGATTTGAATGAAAGTGCAGTCAATTTGTAAAAGAAGGAGGGAGAACGAAAAAGAAATTGCACAAGAGAAGAAGAGAAAGTCGGAAAGAAAAAAAAAATTCAATATGTAAAAAGTTATTAATACCTTTTATAATATTTAACCCGTATAAATCAATAATTTATACCTATTCTAAGATTAATAGGTATAAAAAATTTTATACCTATTTCATTTTTATACAGTTATTTGTATTTTATTATAATATTACCAACACATCATTTTCTATACATGTTTTCATTAAAGTTGATGTAGAAAATTTTCTCATATTTACAAAATTGTCACTGCATCACTTTCTACTCCTGACAGATTTTAACAGGTGTAAAAAATTACTATAATTAGTACACTTTTTTTACCTGAACAATACTAATAAATTATGATTCTAAGATGCTTTGTAAAATGTAAATGAAATAGTGAATTAAATTATTTTTAGATAAGCTGGGTGTGGTTAGCATACTTACCTGGCTATAAATAGTTAAATTTCTATGCTTAAATTTAGTTAAGGGAACACTACTGGAAGTTAGTAGTAAATTAATTGCACGTCTAATAGTTGGTTTTAATGTGACTAATCGATAAGCAGTAATTTTATTTCTTTATAACAAAAATCAAATTCTTATATTTTTAAAAATATAAACTACAGTATATTAAAATTACATGCAATAAAATAATAATCATTAATTTTATTCTTCACCAATTCAAAATTTATGTTAAAATATTTCTTTAATAATATATTAAACATACTATCTCGTTAATTCTTCTTCATGTATAAAATAATGAATACATACAATTTATTAAAAAGTAATGTTTAATTAAAACAATAATATAAAAAGTTTAAAATAAAGTATAAAACCAAAATATTTACAATTATCTTACCTAGTTGACAAAAATACATTAACTAATTAAATTATGCATCTAAACGTAATTAAATTTTCTTAATTTAACTTTTATTTTAATTACATTAATTGATACTTTTTATTTTAATGTTAAAATGAAAATAATTAAAGAAACATACTTAAAAAAATTAAAAATGTAAAAATTTTAATTTTATACTGAATTAATATTTTTTAGTCAGATTCTATTTATGTTTTACTTGAGTTAAATTAATTGAGAACAAAATAAGTACAATATAACTTTATTTTACTTTGTTGAGCATAAATTTAAACAAATAAAAAATAAGAGTTTAAAAATGAGATAAGATTGATAAATAAATGAAAAATTATTCCTTCATCCATGACGACCTCTCTGAATGAATTTTAATAGTACACGCAACTATATATAAATATTTATATATATATATATATATATTATATATATGTTCCCGTGTCCGATTTTGAATGGCTTCGGCGGTGTCCAATAATTTAAACATGTGGAACTTTGAAATTAACGTGTTTGTGTAAAAGTCAAGATTTTAAAATAAAAACAAATAAATTCCAAAAGAATAAGAGATGCTTTTGAAATGAACATTATTATCTCAAAAAGAGCGTGTTATAATCTTATTTGGAGTTAAGCCACCAGATATTTCTTCTTCATTTTTTGTTTTCCTTGAAGCTGAAGCAGTATGGCAGACGACGTCGTTCTGCTAGATTTCTGGCCGAGTCCTTTTGGGATGAGAGTGAGGGTTGCACTTGCTGAAAAAGGTATAAAGTATGAGCGCAAAGAAGAGGATCTGAAGAACAAGAGTTCTTTACTCCTACGAATGAATCCGGTTCACAAGAAAATTCCGGTTCTTATCCACAACGGCAAACCCATCTGTGAATCTCTCATTATTGTTCAATACATTGAAGATGTTTGGAATCACACAAATCCCTTGCTGCCTTCTGACCCTTACCAGAGAGCACAGGCAAGATTTTGGGCTGATTATGTTGACACTCAGGTACCCTTCCTCTCTTTCCTTTCATACTTTTAATTCCTTTAGTAAAATATTATTCTACGCATCTAAACTTTTTATATTCGTTTCATATTATTTTTCTTTATTTTTTACTTAAAAAAATATAAGACTTTACATTTTTTAAATCATTTTATTCTTATAAATCTGTAAAAATTATCATGATACCATTTTTTATTCCTTTTAATACATTTTTTATTTGATATTTTACTATTCGTGCCATTTATTAATCTTATAAATAAAGAAATAAATTTATATTATATAATTAATTTAAGTTTTATTAGTTATATTTTAAAATTCATTTTTTAACAATTTGTTTTTTTAGTATTAAATGAGTGATAAGTAAAGAAATTCTCTAAACAAATATATTGTTAAAACTTTCACATTAATTAGTTATAAAAACACTTTAAAGTATACAAACTAGAACAAATTTCATTTCACAAATTTATTGTATAGAATTATTATATATTTATAATCCATTACTTAATATAGATTCCTAAGTTATAATCTATTTTGACGAGATTTATTGTTTGTTTGATTTATTGTATCATTTGTTATCGATTTTTTTAAAAAATATATAATGTTTTACATTAGCTAATGATAAGGTCAATTAAAAATATATAAATAAATACAAATTTTATTTTATAAGTTAGTGTTATGAGATTGAATTAGATTTAAAATTTATTTTTTAACCTATATTATTTTGCTTTGAAAACATATGCAAGAAGATTTGATGATATTTAATCCATGTGTTTTGTGTAATTTGATTATATTTAACATAAATGTGTCCTTATACCAGTTATGACTTGTGAAATAGATAGTTAATACCTTAGACAAGATTTCGAAAGGAAAAGGAGAAGAAAGAGAAGTTGCAAAGAAAGGGTTGATAGAAGCCCTTAAATTGTTGGAGGAAGAAGTGGGAGATAAAAGTTATTTTGGAGGAGAAAATCTTGGTTTTGTGGACATAGCACTTGTCTCATTCTACCCTTGGATAAAATCCTTTGCAAGTTTTGTCACTCTTAACATAGATGCTGAGTGTCCTAAGTTGATTGCTTGGGCCAAGAGGTGCCTTCAAAAAGAAAGTGTTGCTAAGTCTCTTCCTGGTGAGCAGGTGATCAATGAGTTCACAACAAAGATCTTCGGCATTGAGTAGCTTCAAGCTTAGATCACACATTGAAAGTGTTGCTTATTTTTTAGCTTTCTATTAAGTAATATCTTTGCAATAAAAGGCATTTTGATGTGCCAAATTATTGTTTTATGTAAGAGTGCATATGTTTTACTGAAGACATTTTATATATGAGGTTAGATATTTAAGGGAGTTTTTCTTGTTATTAATAATATCACTTCACACAATCAAATTAATATTATTAAACTATTTCAATTTCAGTATTATTAAAATATTAACAAAAAATATTAGTATGAATAAATTATTATGAACTTCAAATTTTTTCAAAAATAAAATAACTTTAAATTTACAATAACTTTTGAAGTAAATAATTGTGAACATATAAATTAAATTACTCAACATTGTCTGATAATATTGATGTTCGCGTGATCAAAATAATAATATTAAATTATCAACTTCATTATTATTAAGATAAAAACAAAAAAAATATTAATATAAATAAGATAACTTAAATTCGCCAAAAGAATATTAAATTAATTATTAATAAGTTAGTTCTATAAATTTTATACAAAATATTTAGTCAAATATAAAAAGAATAAACGAAAAAAAATATAAATAAAATAGATAAAAAAATTAAAAAATAGTAAATGAAAGAAAAAAATGAAATTGCCAATAAGATATAAAGAGATAAAAAAACAATAATAAAGAAAATAGATTGATTTGACTACTTTTTCAAAATATAATTTACTACTCGTGATTTAAAGATTATTGTTCAATTAATTATTGTCTTTGATTTTTAAATTAATCGATGTGAAATCTCAATTAATTCATTGACATTCTCACTAATAACCAAAGTACAATCTCAATTAAAAATTAAAAGTGAAATTTTTTTATACTATTCATAATCAATTAAACTAAAGTATAGTCTGAATCAAATTTTACTATACCTAATGTAACATACCATTTTGGTGTCACTTGTAATTTAAAAACTCAACATTTGTTGATACCATTGCAAAAACAAACTTAAAAAAAAATTAACTGATCAAGAAACTTTATTTCTGAAAAAATAACATCAACAATTGATTGAGTTTATTACTAAATAAAAAGTTCAAATATTCCAATTACAATTTCAAAATTCCTAAAGATTCTCAGCTCTTCTCGATACTTCAACTAGCTCCAATGTCATCTCCTGTATAACAATACGAGTTATACGCTCATTGAGCCTTAGTCTTAAATCCCAAGTCAGAGAGTCGTGTGGTAATAGAGCATTGAGCGATGACTTTGTACTGTTGCGTGCAAGTCTTAAATTCCTAGTCAAATAGCCATGTGGTGATAGAGTGTTGACAATGACTTTGTATCGTTAAGCATCAATCTTAAATTTCAAGAGAGAGCCATGTGATGACAAAGCACTGAGTGATGGTTTGTACCACTAAGCACTAGTTAGTGTAGTGTTTTCGTTTGTTGTGAAATTCTAATTTTGATAGCTTTTGTTGGTTTTAGTTACTTATATGAGTTATTTATAATAATTGTAGTAATGATATGAGTTGTTATGATTTAAGGGATTTTATGAAAAAAAAAATCCTAGTTTTGTTGTTTTTCGTGTTTGTATTAATGTATGGATTCTAAAACGCAAAAGAAATTAATCTTGTGTGTAGTAGGATAAAATTTATTGATAATGACTCCATAGACTAGTGGAGATCACCACATGCGCATGTAGGGATGGCAATTTTACCCGCGGGCACGGGTACCCGCGGGTAAAATCCGTGGCGGGTAGTAACTATCCACGGATATTTACTACCCGTGGGTAACGGGTAGCGGGTATTTTAATACCTGCTTCTAAACGGATCGGGTACGGGTAGTATACTACCCGCCCCGCGGGTACCCATTACCTGCAAAAAATTAAAAAATAAATAATTTATATATTTTTAATTAAAGTTAATTAAAAATAAAATAAAATAATATTTTATTAGTTTAAATTTAATTAAAAATTAAATTTTAATTTACATTTAATTTAATTTATATTATATATATATATATATTTGTATTTTTATTTAAATTTTATTTTTAAAATGTATTAAATAATTTTTTTTATTTTTTGCGGGTATCTGCAGGTACCCGCGGGTATTTTTTAAACGGATACCTGACGGGTAGTGGATCGGGTAACATATACGATTTTATCCGACAGGTCAGGTTGCGGGTAGGTGTTAGAATCGCTGCAGCGGAATTATTAGCGTGGTAACAAACCAAGAGGGGGGGTGAATTGGTTATATTCTCTTATTATGCCTTTTTAATATTTTTCTCTCAATTCTTTCTTACTAAGCAGATAATTGAATGTAAATAACAGAGTAAGGGAAAGAGAAAAATTGCACAGGTGATTTTATCCTGGTTCAGATCACTAGGATCCTACGTCCAGTCGCTTATCTCAAACAAGATAAACCTTTTTCACTATCACAAAACAGTTACAAATATTAGTCACACAGAAAAAACAATTTGTAACAGTTTAGAAATTACCACCTCTCTTGAAACCACAAGAGATGAACTTACACCTCCTTTGAATCTTCACAAAGGATGATCACCTCCTTCGAATGCTTCACGAAGGATGATTCTCTTCCAGACACTTCCTCAGACACACCAAGGATGACTCAGACCACCAGGATGATCAAGCTATCCGCTGTCCGCAGACACTTTCAGGATTGGCAAACAAGAGTTTTTCCTTAGCTTCAGCAATTTCACAGAGTTCTCAAAAGAGTTCAGAGTACTAGAGCACAAGGGAAGAGTTATTTTTGAGATAAAGAGTGAGCCAATTTATAGACTCAGCCTAATACCCTTCCATTCTTCGAAAACAACGGGCCATCTAAAACGCATTAAAAAATCGTTAACAACCATAAATATTACTCGATTATCATGAGTACAAACGTCTAGTTTTTCAAATCTGAAGACCCCCAAGGCCTGGTGTGTGTTGTCAATCTGAAAACCCCCAACGGCTAGTGTTAATTGATTATTCGCAAAATACTCACTTAGCTAATACATCAATATCATTACCAGACTCAACCCTAATAGATATTTGAGCACTATTACATCAACTTGGATTATTATAAAGCTTTATAAAATACAGAGATCTTCAATTTGTCTTTATGGATCGTGTGACTTGTTGCAAATCTGTTTATCCAAAACTTCATCTTTGAATTTTTGCTAACATTCTCCCCTTTTTTTGAATGATCAAAAACTCCTTGGATTTAAGCTTTTAGTAATAACTTGATACAACACAACTTATGGAGAAACACAAAATCATTAGTGAATAATCCCAACTAGCACAATCCGGCAAATAAGCTTTAAAATAAACATGTCTCCCCCTTTGTGATCATAATTAAAAGTTGTGTTTGAGTTCTCCCTCCTAAGAGTGAATACTGGCCCCCCCTTAATAAAGCAAGTAGCAATATAGCTAAAATGATGGTAAGCGGTGGTTTAAGATTGGCGGGTGGTCAAGCTGCCCGAACATGATCATGAGATAAAGGTGGCGAAATATGTTTAGGATAAAAAACTTATAAAACCTCATATATTGAACGATATACGTAAGGATAAATAATTTTAAAAAAAATGAATCCGAAGATATTTTACAATCCTAATCTCTTCTAATGTTTACCCCTTTTGATATGCCTCCTACTTCGTAATGATAATCCTCTAGGTTGTTTCCACATTTTGTTTAGATCTTCATCTTAGAGGATTGTCATCATTCTTCGCTTCATTTGTTGTCTTCTACAAATCTTCATCATTGCCTGCATCTAATTCAACTGACTCAAGAGGTTTTGCCTCAAGGTCTACAATTTCCACATCAAAGACCACTAGCCACACAGAAAAATTTTCCTATTGCAAACTATAATGCTTTGTATATAGAAGATTTTAATATGATAATTTAATAATTCTATTAATTTCATCAAGAATACTTGATATAATTATTGAAGAATAATATTTCGCTCTCCTCCTCTTCCCCTGCTCTCCTTCTCTCTCCCCTTTTTCCTCCTGCTCTCGCTTTCCGCTCCTTCATCTCCTGTCGCCTCCTGCTTCTCCTGCGCTCCCTCTCCCTTCCTCTGTCCCCTTCCTTCCTCTCGCGCGCTCCTCCCCCTTTTTCTCTCTCTTTCTTCCCCTTCCCTTTTCTCCTCTTATTTGCTTTTTCCCCCTCTCCGCTTTCTTCCTCTCTCTCTCTCTCCTGCCTTGCTGCCCCCTCGCTCTTTTCCTTTTTTCTTTTTCTTTACCCGCGTTCTTCTTAGCTCCGCCCCCCCCCCTCCCCCTCCCTTCTTCTCTTTTTCTCTTCCTTTTAGATATTTCTCTCTTCCCCTCCCCTTCCCCTTTTCCTCTGCTTCCCCTCCCCTTTCTTTCCCTTCGTCTTTCCCCCTCTTTCTTCTTCTCTCTTGCCCCCTTCTCCTCCTTGCTCGCCTTCCCTCTCGCTCCCTTTCCGCTTGCGGCTCTCCTTCCCTCTCATCTTCTCCTCCTTCTCGCTCTTTTGACTCTCCTCTTTGATTCCCTCTTCGCATTCCTTCCCTCTCCACCCCTTCGTTTCCTCGGCCGTCGGCCACCCTTTCTCCCTATTTTGTTACACGCCCGCCTCCATCTTCCCCCCTAGTCCCCCCCTCCCTTGTCTGGTCCTTTGGGTTCGATTTCAAAAAACTCCTTTTTCACACCCCCGCATTGCCCACTTGGGACCACCATACGGCCTTCCTTTTACATTTTATTTTATTTTAAGTATGCCCTTTTTTCAACATAACAGCATTATACCACGTTTGTGTTCTATAAGTTTGTTCCATTGCCTTTTTTCCCATGTTCTACGGGTTCGATTATTATGTTTATTTGTATTTTGGAACAGACGTATGTGTAAACAACCTTAGGGGCGGGTATGTTTCGACTTCTCCTAAGGTTGTGTGTGTCTAGTAGGGGGCTTAAAATTTTCAACTAAGAAGCCCATGCATCACGACTAGTAAATTTAACTTTTATACCCTTGTCAAAAAAATAAAACTTTATTTTTCAAATCTTTAATTCTTAAAAATATTTTTCAAAGTCTATTTCAAATTTTTAGGTTCTTTTTCAGAAATCTTTTCAAATTAATT